GGCGCGATCCTGGAGACCTGGGATCGAATCCCACATCAGGCTCCCAGTGCATGGAGCCTGCTTCTCCCTCTGCCTATGTCTCTGCCTTTCTCTCTCTCTCTCTCTGTGTGACTATCATAAATAAAAAATAAAAATAAAAAAAAGGCCATGCAACATTCATTCCACTGGGTAGAAGTACCACAATTTCTCTGATGAATCTTTTATTACTATATTAGTTATTTATGTTATAACAATGCTGCAAATGCAACTTTTTATGCATGTCATTTCACGTGTATGCACAAATCTTTGGATACCTTACTATAAGTGGAAGCAGGCACATGCATTTGTAATTTGGATAAATATGGACAAATATTCCTTCAAAGAGGTACATCAATCTACAGTCCCACCAGTGATATACACAAATGGTCGCCAGTTTTCCTATGTCTTGACCATGGTGCTGTCAGACTTCAAGCTTTGCCTATTTGATACATTTTAAAAATGGCATCGATACATTCTTTGCATTTCTCTAATAATGAGTGCGACTTCATATGTTTAAGAGTCATATGTGGTTTTTTTTCTTTGAACTGTTTACATTCTTTGCCCATTTTTCTATTGGTCGTTGGCCTTTTATTTATAGACCTATAGGCACTTTATGTTAGGAAAATGAGCTTTTCACAAGTGATACAAATGATAAAGCTTTTTTCCTAGTTGTTATTTGTGTTTTGATTGTGCTTATGGTTTTACCATGCCAATAATTTTTTTAAAAGATTTTATTTGAGAGAGAGAGAGAGTGCACAAGTCGGCGTTGGGGGGAGGCAGGAGGGAGACTCCCCAGTGAGCAGGAAGCCCTATTCAAGACTCAATCCCAGTATCCTAAGATCATGACCTAAGTCAAAATCGGTTGCTTAACCTATTGAGCCACCCAGGCATCCCTATTCCATATTTTAAATTGAATAGGTCAAGACCTATCTGGACATTAATTCTAATGTATAGTCTAAGCATTGGCTCCATCTTAACTTCCCATTTTATCGTACAAGTCATCTTTCACTACTGATTTTAAAATGCCACCTTCATCATATTTGAGTCCTTTTCTATATTTTTTATACAAGTTCCCCAAACCACACTGCTTTACTTATTATGGCTTTAAGGTACAGTTTAATATTTGGGAGAGCTATTCTGCTTGTATTACCCTTCTCTTTCTCCTAGAATTTTTCCTTCTTTGTCCATATGGCTGTCTGTACCCCCAAATTGTCATGTTTTCATTGAGGATGCATTAAAATTATAGATTAAGCAAAGGAGGATATATTCATGCTGTCAAAATATGACAGAGATTACCATTTATCTTCTTTGTGCCATTCATCAGTCTTTTTAAATTTTACTCCTAAAGATCCTGCACATTTATTTTCTAAAAATGTTTGTTTGTTTATTAATTTAAGTGGGCTTTATGCCCAGCCTGGAACCCAATGCTGGGCTTGAACTCATGGCTCTGAGATCAAGACCTGAGCTGAGATTAAGAGCTGGATGCTTAATTGACTGAGCCACCCAGGGACCCTCCTTTAAAAACATTTTTTTTTAAAGCACACATTTCAGGATGCCTGGGTGGCTCAGCAGTTGAGCGCCTGCCTTCAGCTCAGAGCTTAATCCTGGAGTCCTGGGATCGAGTCCCACCATCGGACTCCCTGCATCAAGCCTGCTTCTCTCTCAGCCTATGTCTCTGCCTCTCTCTCTCTGTGTCTCTCATGAATAAATAAATAAAATCTTTTTTAAAAAAAAAAAAAAAGCAGGGCAGCCCCGGTGGCCCAGTGGTTTATTTTTTTTTTAAAGATTTTATTTATTCATAGAAATGCAGAGAGAGAGAGAGAGAGAGAGAGAGAGAGAGGGGCAGAGGGAGAAGCACGCTCCATGCAGGGAGCCCGACATGGGACTGGATCCAGGGTCTCCAGGACCACGCCCTGGGCTGCAGGGGGTGCTAAACCGCTGCGCCACGGGGGCTGCCCCCCAGTGGTTTAGCACCACCAGGGTGTGATCCTGGAGATTGAGTCGCACGTCCAGCTCCCTGCATGGAGCCTGCTTCTCCCTCTGCCTCTCTCTCTCTCTCTCTCATAAATAAATTAAAAAATAATAATAAAAAATAAAGAAATAAAAAAATAAAAAAAGCATACATTTCTTGTTAAACTTATTCCTAATGAGTTTATCCTTTGGGGTTGCTGTTGTACTTCCACTATAACTTCTAGCTCATTTGTTTGTATCTCAAGATTTCAAAATATTCTCAAACCAAGAGCTCGCTAGGAAGAAAGCAAATCATATACTGAAAAGAACACAGATGAAATAGTTCATGGATTACTTATAGATACTGGCCTACAACAGAGAGGGGAAAAAGACTAGGAAAAAGGAGCTTTGGTTTTGTGTTTTATAGTGTAAAATCTGCCCTATTAAAAATGATTAATAATTTTGGGCACCATATAAATACAGGTATGGTTGGTTTCGTGGATCAAAAATTGACACACAGACACTAGAACATGGGCAGTGGTCTCAAGGGAGTAGTTCCTGGTTATGGAGATCAGAGCCTAACTAACTAGCAGTCCAACTGGAGAACCAAACAGTTGTAGTGGATGAACAAATGAATGAACTCTAATGCTCTCTCCTTGCTTTCACGATTACTTTAAGTTTTCATTTTATTTATTTATTTGAGAGAGAGAGAGAGAGAGGGCACACTTAGACTCAAGTAACCTGAGAGTATGATAGAGAGGAATACTCAAATGTAATGGAAAAAAAAAAAAACAACCCAAAAACTTCTAACAAAAACTTAAAAGACAGGTAATGCTAACCTAAGGAAAACTAACAAGGGGCGCTTGGATGGCTCAGTTGGTTGAGCATCAGACTCTTGATTTCAGCTCAGGTCATAATCTCAGGGTTGTGGAAGTGAGCACTGCCTCCTCCCAGTGTGGAGCCTGCTTAAGATTATCTTTCTTCCACCTCCCTCCCTCTGCACCACCCCGCTCTGCTCGCACTCTCACTCTCTAAAAAATAATAAATTAAATAAATTTTAAAAATTTAAAATAATAATAATAAAGTATATCTTTTGTTTGGAATAAAGAAAACCTTTGCTTCCACGTTTGGAAAGGAAACCCATGCATGCAGAACACCAGAAATACAGTGAGTACACCGTGAAAAGCATACCTTGACACAGCCTCTCTCCGTAGTCACACTTCCCCACAGGCATTATCATCTCAAGAATGAAAATGGGCAACAGGTCATGATTAGAGAGGAGTTATTGAGGGAAATTTGTCTCCTACTCCAGTTTTACTTTTTAAAATCATTTTAAAAGATCTGATCCAGAGCAGCCCGGGTGGCTCAGTGGTTTAGCACCACCTTCAGCCCAGGGCGTGATCCTGGAGACCCGGGATTGAGTCTCATGTCGGGTTCCCTGCATGAAGCCTGCTTCTCCCTCTGCCTGTGTCTCTAAGTAAAATAAAGTAGAATCTTGTTCACTGCAGTATGCTCTTTAATAGTGAAAAAAGTAAAATCCTGGGATGCCTGGGTGGCTCAGAGGTTGAGCGTGTGCCTTTGGCTGAGGGCATGATCCTGGAGTTTTGGGATGGAGTACCCACATCAGTCTGTCTGCATGGAGCCTGCTTCTCCCTCTTCCTATATGTCTCTACCTCTCTCTGTGTGTGTCTCTCACGAATAAATAAATAAAATCTTAACAAAAAAAAAAAAAAAGAAAGAAAATAGTAAAAGCCCATCATGAACCCACCAACAGGGAACTAGTTAAATCCATTACTTTTTCCCTATAATGAAAATTTTATGCAGATCTTTAAAAGAGTAAGATTAATAAATGTACATATATCAAACTCAAACTTTAATTTTATGTCATTATATATATCTGCAAGTCTTTAATATTTTACATTTAGGTATTATATATTTTATATGCATTTTTATAATCAGAAAAATCAGGAAAAAAGTAACCTGAACTCTAGTTTGTTTGTAGTTATTCATATGACCAATCAAAGGGAAAAAAAAGTTTTTTTTGGAGCACCTGGGTGGCTCGGTGACTGAGTGTCTGCCTTTGGCTCAGGTCATGATCCCGGGGTCCTGGGATCGAGTGGGCACTGGGCTCCCTGCAGGCAGCCTGCTTCTTCCTCTGCCTGTGTCTCTGCCTCTCTCTCTCTGTGTCTCTCATGAATAAATAAAATCTTAAAAAAATTTTTTTTCACTTAATTGCTAAAAAAAAAGTCTGAATTTTTTTTCAGCTACACAAGTTGCCTTGTAGATCAATCATTTCTGAGATATGCAAAGAGATTCAGCTTTGGAAGAAGAAAAAGTAGAATTTTCATACTTCTAGAGGAAAATGTTTTCAGAAATGAGCAGAAAGGTAACGATTGCAAAGGAAGTACTCACTCATCCTGAACCAAATTCTAAATTAAAGACAGTAAAACGCCTCCTTTTCATCCTGGACAACTGCAAGAAGAGCAGCATCTAATTCTACAAGCTCAGAGAGGCGGGGCTGGGATCCAAGCACATTCTGGGTAGATCGCTGAACCAATCAGCGCCTCGGTTTCCACGTGTTAGGTCTGCATAAAAATGCATGTCCAACCGGTCGGTGCTCTGATGCACAACTGCACCGAAAAATTGGGGTAATTAATAAGAACACCACTCGGCCTTCGTGACTCCTGAAGAAAGTTTCGCGACCACGCATTCATCAGGCCAGGCCCACGGAAACGAGGAGGGCCGGAGACAGGCCATCCCCAGGCTTCGGTAGGACACATGGTGACAGCAGTGGCTAACATTCTTGGGGGCTGTGGACGGCTTGGAGAAGTCGAGTGAAACAGGAGTCACTTCCCGGGGAATTAAATCCACGCCCAAGCCCACGCGTCTCTGTACACAACCTCCGTGGGTTCAGGGACCCCTAACACCCAAGCTGGGCTTCCCACGGCCGGGGCTGGTCGCCCTCTCCCCGCTCCCCCGTCCCCCCCGCCCAGTCCCGGGAGCCCTCTAGGCCCCGGGCGGGAACCACGCACCGAAACCAGCGGGACGCGCAGGTGATCCCCCTGCAGCCGGTTGAAGGCGGGGAAGGTGCTCCAGGCGAGGAACCCGCCTCGCTCGGGTCCCAGTAAGGCCACGAACAGCACCTGGTGCCGGAAGCGCACGGTCGGCTGCTCCTCGTAACTGCTCCGCTTCAGCCAAAACCCTGCGGTGGAGAGGGCGGTGGACAGCAGGTCAGGAAGGCGGGCGCGGGCGCAGCCGGCCGCGGGGAGCTGTGCGCGCAGCGGCCGCGAGCAGCTCACCGTGGCTCCGGAAGGCCACCAGCAGGGGCGGGATGTACGTGAGCGCGGCGGCCAGCAGCAGGAACAGCGCGGCCTTGGAGCAGAGCCCCGCGCGGTAGCCGCGCTCCACCGGGTGGGAGAAGAGCTCGTAGAGCGCCATGACCGCCTCGCGGATTCCGGCCGCTCGCCGGGGGGCCCTACGCGGTTCGCGAGGGAGGACCAAGTTTGGCTTCTCCCGGTTGCCATAGCTTGGTCTCCACGGCAACCGACGGCACCAGTAGCAAGGAACCAATAGCAAGGACGCGGGGCCCCGGCGGGGGTGGGGCTAAGCGGGGACGGCGCCGGCCGGCGGGCGTTCGTCCTCGCTCGACGTGTTCCGCGCAGTTTTCCAAAGGCCGAGTGGGCGCGCGGCGTGCCCAGGGCCCAGAATCGTAGCCGTTTCCGGTGGCAACGATTGTGGGAAATAAGGTTTTTCAGAAAAGTGGGCTTAAAGTCGTTACCGGCTCGCGTGTCATCCGTTAATCCGCACTGTGGGTCACACCTGAATCCGGCCAGTCACAGCACACCTTCCGTCGCAGGAAAACGCAAAAGAGGAACGTGGCTGTGCCCCTGGACGTGGCGCGGGAAGGCCAGGCGGCTCCCTGCGTCTCCGAACTTGGTTGCTTTCTCTCTACTCCACAGCAGGATGGCCGCAGACACGGGACGCAACTCTCCCAGCTCTTCGAGGGGTAGAGGGTAATTACTCCGTGGCGCTCTCTGCTGAATTTCCTTAGCGTATCCTGGGGACAAGCTTGGCCACCGGTTTTAGGGGAAGCTGTGCCACCCCCCCCCCCAAAGATGATAGTGGCTTATCACTTAATTGAATGTTTTCACCATTACCTCTAACCAGTATTTTGAACATGGCAGAAGGATTTTTTTTTTTTTTTTTAACCCTGGTCAACAGCCAAGTTCTTCAGGAGGCCCTGAAAGGATCACAATGCAGCGCCAAAAGGTAGTGTGAGGTTTGTGGTCAGAGCGGAATCAAGCAGGCGATGCCTCTATTTTGAAGGCAACCTAGAAATAGCTTTTAGATAATGCAGCTGAGATCCTAACTACATAGATGCTTGAGAGGGCCAAGAGCTGATCCTTTGGGAAAACTATCCAGGGTCCTCACCGCGGTTCAATCGACAATATGAGCCATAAGATTTTTTTTTTTGATTAAAGATCTTATTTATTTGAGAAACAGAGGCAGAGACACAGGCAGAGGGAGAAGCAGGCTCCATGTCGGAAGCCCGACGTGGGACTCGATCCCGGGTCTCCAGGATCATGCCCAGGGCTGAAGGCAGCGCTAAACCACTGGGCCACCAGGGCTGCCCGAGCCATAAGATTTTGACAGATCTGGTTCAGTACTACTCATCTTTGCTTTAAAGCTTCCCTAGGGTGGCAACACAGCTCTTAAATATAGCAATTGTTAGGCTTAAATATATATTATGATTCTGACGTTATACTGTATCAATGATTTAAGTGAATGACTTTCATTTATTCAAGTAACAAAACCATATGATTTCATTCATATGTGGGACTTCAGAAAACAAATGAACAAAGGGAAAAAAAGAGACAAACCAGAAAACAGACTGTATTATTATATAGAACAAACCGATGGTTACCAGAAGGCAGGTAGGTGGGAGGATCGGTGAAATAGGTGAAGGGCCTTAAGAGAGCGCCTATCTTGATGAGCCCTGAGTAATATATGGAATTGTTGGATCACTATGTTGTATGCCTGAAACTAATACACCACTGTATGTTAACTACACTGAACTAAAAATTTAAGAATAACCATTAAAATAAGATTCTGGAATCGATGGTTCTAGTGTTACCTCCTGAGTGCAGCTCTACATCAAGGAAAGAGGCATTTGCCTTCAAAGTTCCTTCTTTCAGTAGAAGGAAACATACTGTGGCTAGTGTCAGCTTAGTCACTGCTGAGAACAAGGTGGTGATTCCTAAGAATTTAGGTGTGTGAAGTGCCTCCCCTGAGATGCCATGAGCTTTGCAAAAGTATTTAATAATAATGGATACTAATACTTACTCTTTGCTTCCATGATTTGAAGAAGCTAATCTTTGTGGTCTTATTTTGATTCTTTAAGAGGGAATTTTATTTTTTATTTTTATTTTTTATTTTTTTTGAATTTTTGTTTTTAAAAATGCTAAAGGTCTGTGTATATTGTGTCATTGTCATATATTCATAACTGAGAACTGACTTCTCTGTTTCCATTTCCATAATTTTTTCATGTTTCATAAAATATACTTTTTAAAAAAGATTTATTTTAGAGAGAAGGAGAGCACGTGAGTGGCGGGGAGAGGCAGAGAGGGGGAAATAAGCAGACTCCCCTGCTAAGTGGGGAGCCTGGCCCCAGGATGCTGAGCTCATGACCTGAGCCGGAACTGAGAGTCAGACACTACACCTACTGAGCCTCTCAGGTGCACCTTCATAGAATTTACTTTTAAGGACAAGAGAGTTGTTCTCTTAAAACTACACATTTTGATCACGTTCTACTACTCCTTTCTAAAAGCTCCCATTCAGGGTATCTCAAATCAGTTTAGAACGCCTGAATGTTGGGATCCCTGGGTGGCGCAGCGGTTTAGCGCCTGCCTTTGGCTAAGGGCGCGATCCTGGAGACCCGGGATCGAGTCCCACGTCGGGCTCCCGGTGCATGGAGCCTGCTTCTCCCTCTGCCTGTGTCTCTGCCTCTCTCTCTCTCTCTCTCTCTCTGTACTATCGTAAAAAAAAAAAAAAAAAAAGAACGCCTGAATGTTCACATCAAGGCTTTCCAGCATTTGTCTATATGGCTTACCAGTTCCCTCTTCTAACCCCAGTCTTTGTGTCTATTAAGCGAAGTTTGTCCTTTGAAAAATGTACACTTCTCTCTGACACATAAGATTCACATTCTCTGTTTAGTCTTTTTTGATAAGCTTCGCTTGGTTTGGTGTCAGCCCCCATTGCTCTAACCATCCTTCAGCATTCAAGTGCAGGACCCCTCCAACATCTGAAATTTATTCTGCATATTTTATAAGTCTGTTAATATATAATTGCATACTTTCATTATCCTATTTTTTCTTCTGAGTCATCTTTTCAACTAGCTACCCCCTCAAGGAAGGCATTCGGTATCTTTAGAACATTCAATAAGCTAGTATAATGACCCCATAGGTAAAGAAGGTGATGCATATTATCAGGGCAGATCAGAGAATCCAATTAGAATGGTGAACTGGACAAAGACATCAAAGAAGTAGGTAAAGATAGAAGACAGAAAAACACTGCACCTTACGAAGACCATCAGGTTACACTCCTGTAAGGGGGTGACTTATGGGATCTTTCCACTTTGATTCCTCAGTGTTTAATTCTATTTGCAAAATAGGTATTTTCAGTTTTTTCATTCACTCTCTAGCTGATCTCATCAGTTCAATAGCTTTAAATACTTCTCTCTTGAATTTGAGACTCATAGATCTATTCACTTACTCCATATATCTTCATTTGGATATGTCCCTTGGGCATCTCAGACTCAATAGAGCCAAAACCAAACCTTGATCCCCACCTCCCCAGCTGGCTCCACTATATTTCAGTAAATGGCAATTCCATCCTTCTAAAAACTCTGACTTTGACTTGTCCCTCACACTTCACATTCAATCTGTCATCAAATTTTGTTGGTTGGCTCTACCTTCAAAATATATCTAGAATAAAATTGCTTCCCACCATCCCCACAGACATTATCTTGGTCTAGGCCAACATCGTCTTCCACTTGGATTATCACAATAGCTTCCTAATTGTTTTCCTGACTTCCATTCTCAAACCCTTATAGTCTGTCTACAAAAAAGCTAGCCTGCTCAGTTCAAAAGGAAAGCCATACCATGTCACACCTCTGCTTAAAATCCTCTACTTCTCATTTCATTCTAAATAACATCCAAAGTTCTTCACATGAAATTCAAAACTCAACAGCTGGGCAGCCTGGGTGGCTCAGCGGTTTAGTGTTGCCTTCAGCCCAAGGCCTGATCCTGGAGACCGGGGATCGAGTCCCACGTCCGGCTCCCTGTGTGGAGCCTGCTACTCCCTCTGCCTGTGTTTCTGCCTCTCTCTCTCTGTCTCTCATGAATAAATAAATAATCTTAAAAAAAAAAAAACTCAACAGCTTTGTTACACATATCTTTGATCTCATCTTCTAACATACCCCCCTTGCTAATTCAGCTCCAGCCACAAGGGGTTCCTTCCTGTCCCTGATTATGCCAACCACTTTACCTGATTAGCATTACCCCACTGTCACTCGTCACCAGCCCTGCTTTATTTTCTAAACAGCGCCTACCATTACCTGACATTTGTTGTCTTATCCCACTAGAAACTCCTTGACAGCTGAATATTCTGTTCACTGCTTTTCCTCAACACCTAGAACAGTGCTCCTGTATGCAGCAGTAATAATTTCTAGGTATGAAATTCAAAGGGCTTTTCACTTCATTAAAAACAAGCAAGCAAACAAAAGCCTATTTTGGTTGCTCAGACAATCTTAAAATAATCAAAATGCTTCTAGAATGAAGCTAGATTCCACAGCATCCATCAGGAATTACAACTATAGGAAATGGTGAATGACAATATTCACACATGCAATCCTTTCAGATGCATCAGAATCATAAGCACATGGCAAGGATCATGTGCCCAATTAAATGAATATTCTTGTTACATATTCACCAGCTAGTAAACAGATGTTGACCCAGAGCAGACTGTCTTGATGACTCTGCTAGGAAGAAAGAGGTGACATCACTGGAGAACTCAAGGCATATGCTCAGGCAGGTGACACACATACGCACAGCCTAGACTGTGATTGCTGAACTCCGTGCTGACTGCCAAAGAAATTTGTCTCATGACCAACTCTCAGGGGAATTCTCTCAGCCTGACAGTCACCTCTAAGTCCTCTGTAGTTAAGGTTAAGGGGTCTCTTTGTGATCAGTGAGATGTTATGCTCCTCAAATGCCTATTTGTGATACATTTGCTTACATATTTAGTCAAACGTTTATTTATTCATGAAAAAAGGAAGGAAATAGGGTTTTGTTTAAATTCCATTTCTAGGTCCAAGGCCACCTATTTTGGCTGTCTCCAATACTGAACCCCCGGCTTGTCATCAGAACTTCTCCCCACACAGGCCCCTCAAATTAGCCACACCCTCCAACCTGTTACCACTCCAAACAATACTCCCCAAACTGTCAATGCGCTAAACAGATCTCCCCCACCCCGCCATTATCGACCATCAGAGAGACCCCTCGTCTGTCACTCATGCTCCAAAATTCCCGACACCGAGACTTCCCTCATGAAAAGCCCTCTGAGAGCCCTATCCTATCAGCCAGACCCCCAAACTCCTCTTCCCGTTACCAACGTCCGCCGAGACCCCGTTCCTGTTAGCAGTTCCCGACAGCATCCCCTTCCCCGTCACCGAAACCCCTCCAGGACTGCCGGGTGGCCAACGTCATCAGCCCCACTTCCCCGTAGCCCCGCCCCGCCCCGCCGCCCGCCCCGCCCCTTTGAGTGTGGCCACGCCCCCCTGGCGCGGCGTCCCGGCGAACTGCGCCGGAAGCCCCGCCCCCTGCCGGTTGCTAGGCTCCGGCAGCCGGAAGTCCCGCCTGCCGTGTAGTCGCCGCCGCCGCTGCTGCCGTCGTTGTTGTTGTGGTTGGTTCGCTGAGCTCCGCGGCTCCGAGAGCCGGCTGCATCCCTTCCCCGCCGTCGCCATGAAGTGGATGTTCAAAGAGGACCACTCGCTGGGTAAGGGCTCCGTCAAGAGGCCGGGTGGTGGGGGTCGCGGCGGCGGGTGGGCCCCCTCCCCCACTCGGGCCGCCCTGGGCTGGGCCGGGCGGGGCGGATGCCGAGCTGTGGCCTCGGGTCGCGGAGGCCCCGGCGCCCCCGCCGGCTGCCCACGGACGCTGTGCCGCCTTCTGCCCTCCTGCCGGGAGCCGGGGGCCGAGGACCGAGGCCGCCGAGACGCCGTAACAAGCACCCGGGGCGTGCGCAGGTCGCTGGGGGAGGTGGGTCGGGGGCGCGGGAAGCGGCGGACGAGCAGGCGCGACGGTCAGCCCCGTCTGTTTCCCCCAGAACACAGATGCGTGGAATCCGCGAAGATCCGAGCGAAATACCCCGACCGCGTTCCGGTGAGTGCACTCCCCGCCCCCTCACCTCGTCGTCACCCCGTCGTCTAGGACTCGCGATAGGGCCCCGGGCCACTCAACAGTTGATAAGTTGAGGTTCCAGTCCCAGTTATAGGAGCAGACAAGCCAGACGGGGCTCGGGGCCTTCGGGGCCGTGGCGTGAGGGGCTTGAGCAGGTGCTGTTCAGGGTGCCTCAGTGCTGAATCTCCCGATCTAGGCCAGCGAGCTGTCTGCAGCCTCTGGGCTCCCTCGCCAATTATGTAAGGAACGATGTTCTAGGACAGGGCAACAGGTCACTGCCACTTTTGGGAACACTGGTGGAGGGAGACTGTCACTTTGGTCTTAGAAGTGGTACTTTAGTCTCAGGACACTCATCTTTAACTTTGAGCCTCTGTCTTTACTTGATTTCTAGCTCCCTTTCCTCACTCTGACCCTATCATCCTTTGCTGACCAAAAAAAATCTGAGAAGCCTCTGAGAACTCCCTTCTTTCGTGGTTCCTCCTTAATCAGTAATAAAGATCCTGTTTCTTCCGTGGTAGGGGTAAAGTTTCTATAATTCTTACTGATTTTTAGAGGACATCTGTGTCTGTTATTGTAGCTCTTTGTTTGAACAAGCAAAACTCTGAGGAGGGGTTAGGAGGGACACATTTGAAACCTAGTTCAGGGAGAAGCAACAGGCCAAATGAGGAGCTTGGTTTACTCATTCCCATTAGTCCATCCACTCCTCTCCCCTTTGTTCCTTGGGATCTTACTTCCTCTGTAGTGTGAAGGCAGATTCATTCTGGAGTCTTGGAGTAACTGGCTGTAGATGAAACCAGGTATCTCAGGTCTGCCCAGACAAAATGTCGAAGAGCTTTGTAGTAAGGGCGTGTGTTTCTCTTATGCTCACTGAGATGCAGGATGATAAACATAATTGACCACAGAAAAGCACTTTCTGTTTCCGTATCATACATTTATGTCAGTTCTTAACCTCCAGAGTTAAGAGTTTGTGGTTATTAAATCAGGGGCATATTTTCCAGTGTTGTGCAGTTTCCCACCCACCTCCTTGCCCACATAGTATTCATCAGCTCCCTGGCAATGCAAGGCCATAGCCTCACTTTAGAAACCCAGTCCTGATCTCTCTTTGCTTTCCCAGGTGATTGTGGAAAAAGTCTCAGGCTCTCAGATTGTCGACATTGACAAACGGAAGTATTTGGTTCCATCTGACATCACTGTGGCTCAGTTCATGTGGATCATCAGGAAAAGGATCCAGCTTCCTTCTGAAAAGGCAATCTTCCTGTTTGTGGATAAGACAGTCCCACAGTCCAGGTGAGAAGTGTTTACTGGCATTGGCCACCTTCTTGGCTGCTTACAGAACTCTAAACTTTGGAGGTGAGAAAACTCTTAGAGGTCCTGACTGGAAATCTGGACGTTGTGCTCCCTGACATGAGGAGCTCAAGGAAAATAAGAAAGGGCTACAGTATCTGGGAATATACTTTGGGTTAAGAAAATAGAACAAGATTGGACTTAAAAAAAAAAAATCTAGCCTCAGACCCTGATGAATACTTTAAAACAGTTCAGGATTTACTTAGGCTTAAGCCATCACTAGAACCTAAATGAGCCTAAAATTAGGTTTTCTTTAAATGACCCATGAAATAAGTCCTGTAGTTCTCCACTAGGGGCTTGTGGGCCCTGCTGAGGCTCAGCTTCAGTTAATCACCCTCCTGCTTGCTCTCCAAACTTAGTTCTGTGCCACTGTGAGTGTGTAGCCGTCTGATCCTCAGGTATGCTGGAATGGCTGCTGTCCAGCAAAAGGCTCTGAGGTCTCTTTACAGACTTACACCCCCCCTCGTAGCACCTGCTCCGACTGTCAGAGTAACCGCCCCCCTTGCTCTAGCTGTTGTGCTGCCTAGAAGCATTCTTTGGCATAACTTGGGGCCCGAGTCTTATGGGGCATTATAATTCTCTTCTTCTGTGTAATTGACAGCCCAGCTTTAGTCCCTGGTGGAAAAAAGAAAATGGACTGGCTCCTTCAAAATTCCTGGTCAGTCCTTTGCCATTACTGGTTGAGTACTAGCCCTTGAGCCAGATGCTAGTCCCTCTCCCCTGAGTGTGAGTTCCTGGCTACATCTCATCTTGGAGACTCCAAGTAAGTCTCATTGGTTACTCCCCTAAAGGTAGTACTTCTACAAGCTTAGGCTTTCAGAATCCCTGGAACTATCCCAGTTTGGCCAAAATATGTTCCCTTTGAAAATCCTTGAAAGCTCCAGAAAAGGCCTAAGCCAAAATCTAGTCCCTTTCCTATGACAGATAGCTCTTGCTATTTTTTTTATCTGATTTTGCTTTCCTAATCACCACCACCTCCATTTCCTGTGTTTGGCAGAGAGGTTGGGGAACAATGAAAGGTTCTTCAGTAAGGTCAGTGTCCAGCCTGAGGAGATCCGCCTGGCCTGCCTGCTAGGTGCTGTTGGTCTCCTATAGCTGTTGTTCAGGAAGCTGTAGTGTTGGCAGAGGTGGACTTGACACCTGGTGGGGCTCTTCCAGCCTTCCTTCCCCGGCCTCTAGGCAGCATGGTGCTGGGTGCACTTTTCATCAGGTTAGGAAGCCCTGGGCATCTGTAGTCGTAACTCAGTTTCTCTTAAGGTGGTGGAGAGGTGAATCTTCAGTCATCACACCTGCAGCTTCTGCAGAGTCTGGGTAACTCTGTGTTTCCTCCTTCTTGGCAGTGGCTTCTTAGGGAAGGAAGCAGGTGACTAAGACCTGTGGCTTTGAATTTATTTGATCAATTCTTCTGATTTTTCTATTCTTTTTTTTTTTAAGATTTTATTGATTTATTTATGAGACACACAGAGAAGGTGGAGACATAGGCAGAGGGAGAAGCAGGCTCCTCACAGGGAGCCTGGTGTGGGACTCCATCCCAGAACTCTGGGATCATGGCCTCAGCCGAAGGCAGACGCTCAACCACTGAGCCACCTAGGCATCCCACTTTTGATGTTTCTTAAAGGAAATGTGCAGGCTTCTGGAGACACTGTTACTCTGATGGCCTCATGTTAATCTAGCAATTAAAATGGCTGCAGATTAGCAACTGCCTCCTCCCTCCATTATCCCTGAGATATAAATAGAATTGGAAATCAAAAGTAATTCTCAGGGCAGCAGAGGCTGCTTCCTTTTCTCTCCCAGTCCCATTTGCCTTTCCAGCCTGGTAAGAATCTGCCCTAAAGCAGATGACACCAGTGACCCCCATCAGGATTTTAGAGAATCGCTAACCAGGCTTCCTCTGCCCGGGCCTTCGGCCCCAGTTAATGACTTTCTGTCCCCACACTTAATGCAGCAGTTTGTTTTTTTTTAAGAAAATTTGTTTCTAAACAAAAGTGGTATATGACATCACTGGGCCTTATGCAAATACTGATCACTTGACAGTAGCACACACAGAACTGCCACAGGGTCTCCTGCTAAAGCTAATGTGTGACTCAGTCCTGCCATCTCCTCCCCAAGGCATGTTAACAGTAGCCTCTTCCTCAGCTCCTTCCAGCCTCCTTAGGAAGTGCGGGGCCTCAACCTTCCACCAGTGCTTGCAGCCTTCAGAAAGTGGCTGGGGAAATCAGAGTTGGAACGGATGAGTCCAGGCCTAAGGAGCCTTCTCCCATCCTATGACAGATTTGCGTGAGGATCACTTGAGAGGTGGGAGGTGGAGCTGAAGTAACTTCAGTTATTCTTGCCTTGCAGTGGGACTTTCGGAGTATTCTGGAACACAAGCGATCATGTAAAATGTGGTTATTGTTTAGACTAGTGAGTATTAAATACTGATTCTAGAAATAGAGACCAAGGCAAGTCCCGGAGTTTTACTTCCTAAATTCTAAGTTCTGTTTTTGTTTTTAAAGCAGGGCAGAGGGGGTAGGATCTCAACTCCCCTTTCCCATTTAGCATTGGAAAGTTGAATTCTCAGCCTAGGATCCTGCATCCAGAATCAGGCCAAAAATAAAAGAATTGTCTCTTGGTGCAGACAGAACTCAAGAAAAAAATACCAGTGTACAGACTTCCAGTCATGGCATTAGCAGGGAACCCAGACCTGGCCATGGTATCTACCTTTTGATCTTTGTTTAGAACACAGAAGAATCTTGTTAATCCCTGCTTAAAATAGAAACAGTAATATATTTTTAAAGTACCTCTAAGGTGTGATAATTTGGGAATGTTACACTTGGAAACGTTTTTTAAGATTGTGGTGCTTAGTTGCTCCTTTGATTTTGAAGAGAAACTAAGTAAAAGGAAGTTGTGAGATCTTACAGTCCCTTTATCCTTTATTTAGAAATGTACTTAAACACTTTTGATCATTTCTAGGTAAATACCTCTCCAAGGGTTTATTCCAGCAGTAATGCAATAGGGTTTTATTTATATCAGAGAAAAAAATCCGACAAAAGGGATAGCCAGTAGTTAATTTTTATTTTTTAGAACATCGAGAGCCTTCATTAAGTTGACTTTCACTCTGAGGTGGTTGCCTTTCCAGGGTCCACGCAGTGGCCCCCGCCCACAGCCCTGCTGGGCAAGAGAGAAATCCAGGTCCAGGGGAAGCATGTGGGCTCTGAAGCAGATGGGTGACCAGGTGTGCCTGTCGGTCCAGCCAATTCGTGAGTCAGGCTGGAGCCCACAGCCTTCAGGACCTGACCTTGGTCGAGAGCCATGGGAAGGTTCTGCAGGGATTAGGTGCCTGCTCAATGCTCAGTTCTAGGCCGGCCTCCCCCAGCACATGTGCTCTCAAGGAGCTTCAGGCTCATGTCACCCTTGGCAGCACTGCTGTTCCCAAATTTGGGCCCTTTTTGAAAGGTGCTGTTATTATTGGCTAGTTTGTCTGGATCTGTGTGACCCTGAATGGAGGGGTGAGTAACAGAGTTTTAGGGGTCACTTTAGGTTCATGAGAGTCAGTACATCGGGGTCCCACCAACACCTTAGATGGGCTCTGTGGCTTGAATCTGCCTGCCCTTGGCTTTTCCCATTTCTTTCCTTGTCAGGCTCAAGCATTTGGAAGGCGGCAGGGCTCCTGGTGCTTAGCAGCACCCTTCTGGGGTGAGCGCATGTAATAGTTGATGCCACCGCCATGTGTCTTAGTTCTAGGGGCCGGAGGTCGTCTCTGAGTGTCTTCCTTAGCAGTACCTGCAGCAGGAAGGCTTAGAATTACAGCGCTGTTCGCAGGTTGTCAGGCCATCCAGCGAGCCTGTGCAGCTCAGCCTGACAGGCACCTCCGAGCCACCTGTGTGTGTGAGGATCCTTGGGCATTTTGGCTGTGGCCTGCCCAGTGCTGTGTGGCTCAGGTAACCTCTTGAGAGGGAAACTTATCTTCTCAGAGGCTTGTGGAACATGTCCTAAACTGACATGCCAGCTTCCTCCTGGAGACTGCCCACTGACTAGGGTCGCCTTTTAACTCATTTCTTTTTTTTAATGGGAGTTAATAAATTTAAGCTGTGATTGGGGCCCAGCTCTTTTTGGCTCCAGACCAAATCATTCTGGCTTTGAATGTGTGTGGCCTGATCCTATAAGTCCTATTTTGAAATCATACTGTACAGATGTTTCAGTCTTGTTTCATGGCACTCAGTGTCACATCAGAATTGGGCATTCGGTCACAGGCTGCTGAATGGAGTGTTCTCCCAGTGTTGAATATCATCAGTTTCCAAGTTCGCCCAAGGGGTGTCCTGAGTTTAAGGACCCAGTGTGGCTGCCAACTGAGTAAAGTTTCCACACGAGGCTGTGTGACGGAAAAGAACAGCAAGAGGACTCTTAGAGTCACAGGCACAACCATCCAGTTGTTACATTGCAGGATCTGAAGAGAGAGCTCTGTGTGACACAGAGGCTGGCAGTGGTGGCCTTACTTAGGCACCTGTTACAAATATAGAATCTCAGGCCCCACTCTGACCTACTGAATCCAGAGAGACTCAAACTAGGCAGGCATGTGTGTGATTTCGGACGCACATGCGTATGTGTGACAAGCGCTAGTCTTGGGAGATGTGTGCAGAAGGCACAAGATGCTGACATTAGGGCAGTAGAACAGATCTGTGTATTCACTTGGAGGGAGCACAGCTTAGTGCTAAGGATGTGTCTTAGCTTTGTGATGTGTCTCACTTTATTATTGCCTTACTTTTATTATCTATAAACTGGATTGTGATCCTTTTGAGGATTATTCTGCCTCCGAAGATTGCTCTGAGGATAAAAATATGAACACACTTAGAATAGTGCTTGGCACATAAGTGCTTTTGTAATTAGGATTTTTATGATCACGCTCTATAGCTGCTGGGGGCATGGATTAAACAGATTTATAAACCCAAGTTTTACTTAAAAGATAATACAATCAGAAGGAACGAGAGCCACATGATTATGGGTCTCTGCTTACAGTCTCAGAGCCTGCCTCAGGCAGCAGGGGCTCCAGTGGTCATTGTTTACTATAGGCAGAGTCTGGAGTGGGCCACCAGTATTTATGTAGCTCCTCAAGTATTTTTTTTTCAAAGATACTATTTATTTATTAGAGAGAGAGATAGTGACTGGCGAGAGAGAAGGAGAGAGACTTTAAAGCAGACTCCCCACTGAATCAGAGCCTGATGCAGGGCTCAATTCCATGACTGAGATCACACCTGAGCCAAAACCAAGAGTCGGGTGCCCAACCCAGGTCCCCCTCCTCAAGTATTTCTAATTCAGCAGTGGGATTTGGAGTCATTGAACTAGGGCTTCATATTTGCTAGGAACAGAGTGCACTTAGCCTGTCAGATGGAACCAGACTTGACAGTGGCTGCCTTTGAAATATACAGTGTCTTTTACTTCTGCCTCTAAATCCCTCTAGTAATGGTCATGGGGAGATGGTAGGCCAGGTGCTCACCAAGGTGCTCACCTGGATTTTTGGAAGAAGTGGGACTAAGAGAGTTGTGACAATAGCTGTAGCTATTTTCCCTGTCGCTCCTTTGGAGGTGTGTCAGAGAAAAGCAAGGTTCCTTGGGGCATTCCCGTCCACCAGGGTAAAAGTCTTCTTGAGAGAGACAGTTACGTGTCAAGCTTTTGGCTGGTTGCTGGCTCCTCACTCCACTTCCTAATCATATGGTTCTTAAAGATAAGCATCTCAAACAAACAAAGAAGACAGATGGGATGCGTGGCTCAGTTGGTAAGAGCATGCAACTCTTGATCTCAGGGTCCTGAATTGAGGACAACCACCTCCTGTTGCCTTCTTAAAATAAGAAAAGACACTAAAAAAAAAAAACATAAGTACCTCTCTCCCTCTGGCAGAGAGACTGTTTCTCCACTCAGCTGCACCTGGAATCATCTTGGGCATTTGAAACATACTGATGCCTGGATCCTACCTCCTGAGATTCTGATTTAATTGGTCTGGGGTGGGGCTTGGGCATGGAGATGTTTTAAAGCTCACCTGTGATTCTGTTGTATAGTGGAGGTTGAGGCTTACTGCTCTAGGGGGCTTTACTACGGGGTTTCTCCCTCTGCCCATGTCCCTCAAGTCCCTCCATGTTCCAGGGCAGTACAGTTGAGAAATGGCATGTGAGCCACATTTGTAATTTAAAATGTTCTAGTACGTTAAAAAAGAAACAAGTGAAATTAATTTTAATACATTTTAAGTATCCAAAATGTCTTTTCAACATGTAATAAAAATGGAGATTTTTACATCCTTTTTTTCATACCAGGTCTTGAAATCTTGTATATGTTTGACACTTACAGCATGTCTCAATTCAGATGAGCCGCATTTCGAGTGCTGCACGTAGGCAGTGGCTACTGTATTGGACAGCAGGAATACAGGACATTTCTATCATAGCAGAAATGGCCTAGTAGTGGACAGTGCTCTTCCAGGGAGTCCTTATTTTACAGATTTCAGGTTAAGAGATCGGGAGCGCTGTGTTATTTACCAGATGCTGATGACCGGTCATTTGTATTCCTACTCATCCACCCCCATGTTGTTACTTAAGAATTCTCATCTGCCCACACAGCCAACTGGGCTAAGCTGGCAGTTGGGCAGGAAGAATAGGAAAGGAAAAACTCCCCTTGTAGATGCGGCCTGTACCCCTGTTTATGTGGAGGTCCCACGCAGCCCTCCAGGAGCACACCAGCAGAGGGGCGCAGGCCCTGTTTCAGCAGCCTGCGGCCCCAGACTCCCATAGAAACCCAAACCCTGGCCCTTGTTTTACTGAGTCCTGCATGTAGGCATCTAAGTGGCCTGTCCGCTGTAGTCCGAGCTGGCTCTCAGACTACTGTCTGACGGCTGGTTCTGGTTGACCCCACGTGTGGTCACCCTGATGTTTAGCACGTGTCTGTGCCTGCTGTGTCTCTCTCATAGTACAGTCACGTGGCCAGAGCTCGCCCAGGGTTCCCTGTGTTACTAGTCTTACTCTGGAGCCGCTTCAGCTCAGTTCCATGGCAGGGAGCTAGATTAGGTCTCCTGTACTGCAGTCTGTTTTATGGCTTAGGGAAAAGCAGCTTTCCCGCCCACACATGTTTAGTTTGAGCAACATCTATTTCTGGAGGGTTCTTAGGAGGGTTGGGCAGGGTTTCTTTGGATCCCAGATACAATCTTATTCTGCCTTACATGTGAGGAAAATAACTTCTCTTTGATGGCACTGATGCCAGTCACTGGAGCATGGGTTTTTTTTGGTGGGGGAGTTTCCACAAGAATGAACCCACTTATACTTATCATGTTAGGTACAAATTATAAACCTTCACAAAAGCCTGAAGGAGAAGCAAGTCCCATGTAGTCATCTTTACCTTGGTTCTCCACCCACATGGGGATGGGCCTCTTAGGCCCTTAATTTTGCTTAGGTTTTTTTCCTCTTGCCCTTGGCATCCAGAAAGCATTCAGGTATTAACCAGGCAAGCCCACTCAAGGAGCTAGCGCTGGCCTCTGCACTGGCCTCTGAAGGGATAATTTAGTGTGAAGGTGCAGCAAATGGCCTTGCCTCGAGGCAAGAGGATGGAAATTTGATTCTAGTCTAATTTACTGATTGTCCAGGCAGCCCTGGAATTACTTTTATTGTCTACCAAAGTATGGTAGAGTAGCTGGTTTACACAGTCAAGTCCCTTTTCCTCAAACCAACTTTCTTCAAACACCTAGACTCAGGGCACCTGGGTGGCTCAGTTGGTTAAGTGTCTGCCTTCGGGTCAGGTCATGATCCCGGGGTGCTGGGATCAAGCCCTGTGTTGGGCTCCCTGCTCAGTGGAGGAGACTGCTCTCACATAAATAAGTAAAATCTTTATAAAAACAAAAAAGCAAAAACCTAGACTCAGTGACCAAAATCAGTTTCTCACTGTTTCTTTCTTTCTTTTCTCTTTCAAGCCTAACTATGGGACAGCTTTATGAGAAGGAAAAAGATGAAGATGGATTCTTGTATGTGGCCTACAGTGGAGAGAACACTTTTGGCTTCTGAGGGCCAGCGCTGGGCTAGGTGCACCGTTCCTGCTTGTGTATCTTGTAAATAGCCGGCCATTTTCAGTTTCCAGACCTCTTCACATAGACCTATTAGTGCATTTGTAACTGGATTTATTTCTTAATATATTGGAAGGTTTTGTTTCCTTAGATTAGTAAATTATCATACAGAGTTTTATTTTCAGTTTTCCTTTTGTGCACTGTCCTCATGGCTGTACTCTCCAGGGGACATGTTCCTCTGGGGATCATATTTAATGAAGATATTTCCATATTAAAGTGAGGTAGGTGGGGTATTAAAGTGAAAGGGAGGGAGATGATGCATTTCTTCTGGATTATGTTTGAAGTGTTAAAGATGGCTAAGTATTAAAAGCACCAAAATTAAATCCTTAGCAATCAGAACACTTGCTTCACTAGATTTTGCCAACTGCCAATCATGTTGGACTGAGCTAATCTGTTCCTCTTTCTGAAACTATTAAGGTAAATAATTAACAATAAAACTTCCTCTTATAAAGGCATTGCAGTGTGACCATGTCCTTTATTTACTTTCTTCCAGACAGGCCTGACAGGTAGCTCTGCGTCTGCTAGGTCAAGCAAGACGGTTTGTGGGGCCCATGGCAGTGTGGCCTGGGATAGGAAGCAGTGGTCTGTGTCATAAGAGGGGTGCTTTATTAATTTTTTTAAATGGTTAATATATCCACATGGTTCAGATATAAAGACTATAAAAAAGTAGACATTGAGAAGTCAGGCTCCCACTACTGGTTCCTGATTCCCTGACCTCCCACCTTATAGGAAACTACTTTTTAATTTTTTTTTTTTTTTTTTTATGATAGTCACAGACAGAGAGAGGCAGAGACATAGGCAGAGGGAGAAGCAGGCTCCATGCACCGGGAGCCCGATGTGGGATTCGATCCCGGGTCTCCAGGATCGTGCCCTGGGGCCAAAGGCAGGCGCCAAACCGCTGCGCCACCCAGGGATCCTATAGGAAACTACTTTAATTTTGTTTCTTTCCAGTAAGTATATGTCCTTATTTTCTTCTTTCTCTTCCACAGAAGAAAACATTATATATATTTACATACACATTGCTCTTTTCCATTTAATAGTATATCCTGGTGATCTTTCCATATCAATTCATAGGGAGACTTTCCTTTTTTTCTTTTTTTTTAAATTTTTTTTTTTAAAGATTTATTTATTTATTCAGAGAGAGCGAGAGAGAGGCAGAGACACAGGCAGAGGGAGAAGCAGGCCCCATGCAGGAAGCCCGATGTGGGACTCGATCCCAGGTCTCCAGGATCACACCCCGGGCCACAGGCAGTGCTAAACCACTGCGCCACTGGGGCTGCCCCATAGGGAGCCTTTTCATTCATTTTTACAGTCATATTCATCACACTGTGAATATGTCATTATTATGTACCTGATACCTAGGCCCCTGTTAATGGCATTTGGGTTGTTTGCAAGTCTTTCACTATTACACTGTGGTGGGATGATAACTGAATACACAATGGCCTCTTAAAAGTATCTGTATGCTTCCTGGTGCTACTTTTCAAGCCCCCTTCCTAAAAATCACAGATTTTCCCATGCACACGTGTTTCATTATTTCTCACAAATTGGTATAAATGTGTAGGCTTGCCAAAACACAAATGCATCTAAGAGGAAAGCTTACTTTCCCAGATCCTCCTCAGACAGTCTGTGTTGGAGGCTAGAGCCCTACAGAGATAATGAGGGTAAAGAAACCTAGGAACATGCAGTTAAAATGACTGCCTTGCACTTTCTACTGGGGAAGAAACACAGATCCTTATCTTTATCTTTACCAGGTTGTATAAGCAGCTCGTCACAGCTGTCTACTGAGGTCAGCCTCCCAGCTGGGATCAGAGGAAATGCTTATCATTTTTTTTTTAATTTTTTTAAATTTATTTATGATAGTCACAGAGAGAGAGAGAGAGAGGCAGAGACATAGGCAGAGGGAGAAGCAGGCTCCATGCACCAGGAGCCCAACGTGGGATTCGATTCCGGATCTCCAGGATCGCGCCCTGGGCCAAAGGCAGGTGCCAAACCGCTGCGCCACCCAGGGATCCCAGAAATGCTTATCATTAAGTATCATGGTGGTCTTTCCTCAACCTGACCCCATAAAATCTGCGGTCTCTGCTGGTTGTTTCAAACTGGAAATAGGTACAAACTGACCTCTGAGTGAGCAAGGGAGAGGGAAGGAACAATTTCTGTGTTGAAGGAAATCTTGTTTGCAGTGACAGCCACCTAATTCAAACTGGCTTAAACTCTAAAAAGGATGCTTGAACTAGAGATGGAATGATACCATCAAAGCCCTTTGCTCCTGGTTTTGTTTCCCTCTGTCTTGATTTCATTCTCAGGCAGATTCCTTTCCTGCGAAGGCAACATGGCCCCATCAGCTTGGCAAGTCCAGTGGAGCATTTCTTCTGAGGGCAATGTTAAAAGTCTCCAGGAAGACTGTGGCCTCACTTGAGACAGGGACTGGCGGGAAGGAATGCTAAAACCCTCCTTAACCTTATGAACAGAACAGGATTATAGAGAAATGGGAGAGGGATAGCTTTCAAAAGGAATTTTGATCTGTTTCTTTTTTACAACCACAAATCCACAAAGGTAACTGAACAAAAATAGAGGGAAGAAGAAAACCAAAAAGCAAGGGCCACCAAAACGAGCTGTGTTTTTCTTTCTCTTAAAAATAATTTATAGAGGTTCCTGAGGGGCTTAGTTGGTTAAGTGTCTGCCTTCAGCTCAGGTCATGAAATCAGGGTTCTGGGATTGAGCCCCGAGATGAGCTCCTTGCTTCTCCCTCTGCTCGTGTGCTCTTGCTCACTCTCTCAAATAAATAGAATAATAAAAAAAAAATTTAGAAGGGTGCCTGGCTGGTTCAGTTGGTAGAACATGTGACTTTTTTTTTTTTTTAAGATTGTATTTATTTATTCATGACAGATATAGAGAGAGGCAGAGACACAGCTGCCTGTGGGAGAAGTAGGCTCCTTGCAGGGAACCCAATGTGGGACTCAATCCCAGGACCCCAGGATCACAACCTGAATCAAAGGCAGATACTCAACCACTGAGCCACTCAGGTGTCCCGAACACGTGGCTCTTGATCTTGGAGTTGTGAGTTTGAGCCCCATGTTGGGTGGTGAGATTAAAACTTTTTTTTTAAGTAAAAAATAAAAAAAAAGTAACACTGGCTGGATACCAGATGATTTATATATATTATCACGACTCATCTTCAAAAGGAACTCATGAGATAGGTAGTATAATTCTTACAGCTATACTGCTACCAAGTGACCACTGAGAGACACCGCGCTTGAGATTTAAGAGGAAAGACAAGAGTTGCAGTGTGAAATCATGTCATGATGTTTGTTTTTTTTTCTATTTACAATGTGCTTCACATTGCTGGACGCTGAGGCACAGACAGGAATATAACATTACCCCATCTTCCAGGCACTTAGGGGTGAACTACACAGAAACACATAATTACAAAGCAATATTTTAGAAAGTATTCTTGGAACAGAGGAGGGAGTAGTTGTTATCTATAAAAACAAATGGCTGAGGAAAGTAGCCTAATTTGTAATACCAATAAAAATGGATTTCTCAATTTTGCCTTTAAAATGTAGCTTCTGAATGAAAGTTTGAAAAGTTAAAAAAAGAGAAAGTAGTATCTAGTTTCCCCCAGCTCTGGTCCTTAAAAGATACTAGCATGTCCTCCTTGTGCAGGAGCCATGCTAATCTTCTCTGTATCGTTCCAATTTTAGTATATGTGCTTCTGAAGCGAGCACTAAAAGATACTAGCAAGATGAATTTTACTACATTATGTAAGGAATCCTTAACCCTGTCTTAAACTTTCAGAGATTAGAAAAAAGGTTAATTACAAATTCATTTTGATACCTAAAATGTCAATGCCAAAACTTTATGAGAGAAAATTTTCAGATTATTTATTATTATTATTATTATTATTAATCGACAGAAAAATCCTGAATAAAATACTAGTAAATAAAATTTAGTAGTAAACTAAAACAATCATGACCAGGTAGAGCTTAGCTCAGCAGCGAGTCATTTAGTCCATCATTATGTTTATTAGTAAAATATACCAAGCTAATAAGGGAGAAAAACTATATAATTACCTCATAGATGAAGAAAAAACACCTAAAATAATTCAAGATCCATTCATAATTTTTAAAAACCCTCTTAGCAAATTAAGAGTAGAAGGGCACTCCTTTAACTTGATAAAGGGAATTCATAAAAAAATCTAGAGCAAATATTTAAAGCTGTGGTAAATAAAGCACAGTGATGCTGATACTGGGAATAGACAAATACAAATAATGGAACAGAACCCAGAATGAGATGTGTATAAAAAACGTATGTCTGAGGTAACATGACAAATCAGTAGGAAAATGAAAAGCCAAGCAACAAATATAAATGGTACTGTAAGGTCTGAAGTGTGAGCTTTGTGATTTGTGAACTATATCTCAATATTCTCAAAGCTGTTAAAAAAAATGTCTATCCTTGCTTCTACTCAACAGGGTCCTGGCATAAAACTGGTACAGTAAGAGAGGAAAAGTAAATGAGAGGCATAAAAATGAGACAGGAGGATTAAACTGTTCTTTTATGTAGATAGCGATAGTCTACACAGAAAAATCCAAGAGGATCTGTAAAATTCAAAATAAGAAAGTTCAGCACGGTTGTGGATACGAGGGGAGTTACAAATATGGATGTTGTTTCTACATACCAGCTGTATGCAATTAGAGGATGAAAAAAGATCTCATTCTCAAAAGGAGCAAAAATCTGTAAGTGCATAGGAATAAATTTAATATGATATGCAAGATCTTCATGGAGAAAAGGACAAAACATTCAAAGAAATGGAAGAAGACCTAAATAAAAGGAGAGATACACTAATATACCATATTTCAGGATGAGAACATTCAATATTGTAAAGCTGCATATTGCCCCAGATTAATTTATAATGCAATTCCAATAAAAATCCAAACCAGTTTTTTGTTTTCTGTCATGTGGAATCTGACAACTGATGCTAAATCCATCTAGAAGAGCAAAAGGCCAAGAATAACCAGGAAGTGTTAAGAAAAACAAGCTGGGAGACTTATCTTAGCAGTAGTTAAGTAATTAAGACTGCACCATATGGTGTACAGACAGACAAACCAGGAAACACAACAGAAACCCAGAAACAGACCAATGTTTAAAATACAACAGTGATGGCGTGAAAATCAAAAGAAAAATGATGGGCTAGTTAACGAATCATTCTATAATTGGATATATATATAGAAAAACCAGATCACAGAGCACCTGGCTGCTTCAGTCAGAAGAGCGTGTGACTCTTGATCTCAGGGTTGTGGGTTCAAGCCCTGCACTGGGCTCCACACTGGGAAGGGAGGCTACTTAAAAAAAATGGGGGGGGGGGTAGGGAAAATGTGAAATATGTGGAATTCTCATAAACTGCTTCTGTGAGTATAAACTGCTACTATCACATTGGAAAGCAATTTCAACAATAGCC